ACAAGCACTTCCAGATATCCGTAATTTGTGTCATGAGTACAGGCCAGAGGATGTTTGGAATGCAGACAAGACCGGCCGCAATTATTCGATGGCGCCCGATCGCAGTATATCAACGTTTTCAAGGTCAGGGCACAAGAAGCAAAAGAAGCGGGTAACATTATTGGTGTGCTGCAACAGTACGGGATCCGAGAAATTTCCTCTTTTTATTATTGGTTCTGCCCGTCGGCCGCGATGCTTTCAAAAGAGAACCGGAGAGCAACTTGGATTCGACTACGGTCATAACAAGAAGGCATGGATGACCATGGCTCTGTTTTTTGAGTGGCTAAAACGCTTTGACACGTATATATCTAAGGCCTCTGGCCGTACCGCTCTCCTCCTCGATAATTTTTCTGGTCATGGGACAAAAGCAAAATTACTTGATGTTGCATCGGTTCGAGTAGAGTTCTTGCCGCCAAATACAACTTCAAAACTGCAACCACTGGATGCGGGCATTATTTGCTCTCTAAAAAGGTGATATAGATCTGCGCAGTACAACCGAGCTTTGGATTCTCTCGAGGAAGAAGCCGAGGATATTTACAATATATCACAACTTACGGCAATGCGATATCTCGACAGAATCTGGAAAGAACTACCTGGCCCAATCTTTGCAAATTGTTGGCGATCGACTGGACTGATTGGTACTAACGTAAGCAAGCTGCAAGCGACAGATGCCGACAATGAGATTTCCGAAGAATGCACGGAGCTCGAAGCGGTTATCAGCGATTTAGTGCACAGCCGAGATTGGATGTCAGTACGCAATTCATTGAACTCTGATGACATGGACATTGGGCAGGGATTCGAGCATGGAGATATGGTTGATAGTGTAGTTATGGCTGTCACTGAGCAGGGCCGTGGGGTTGGGGGTCGATGTGAATCGGATGAGGAGTATGAGGCAGGGCCATTCATCACCTGTGAGGCGAAACTGAAATCTATCGCCCTTCTACTGCGCGCGAATGAGTCCAGGACCGAGATCGATTTGGAACTACACCGACGTCTGCGTTCATTGCGCAGGGAGATTCAGCGTGAGCGTGCTGCAGGCTTACGTCAAGCTATTTCCGAAAATAAATTTTTGCTCTGTCAAAGGAATTCCTTAGGACAATGAATCCAATCATGTCCACCAGCCGATTCCTTCTATCAAGGGATGACTGTACAGTGCTTCAATGGACTTGGACACTGTACCTTCGGTAGTGTACTTTTCAGAGCCACAGTAGGGATATGAAAAGGGGCAACATGAGAGGCGACAATGCATACTGTACGTGTTTTCCGCCAACCTTGCAGTTGTAACTGTGTTGCTGAAAGGACTTTATAATTTAGACATTACAGTACTGTATGCTGGAGAGAGTCAGAATAATATTGAAATATTATTTGAGCAACTATAGAAATGGTAGAAATGTTTGAAATTGGGGATCAGCGTAATTTCAAACATTTCTAGCATTTTGTGATGTGGTGTTATGTGTGATGTTTATGTGTGATGTTTATGTGTGATGTTGACACATGGCACGGTACCGCCAATAATTATAGCTGCACCCCACAAATATGCATTGCTGGTAAAGGAATCTTACTTTGCATAAAAAATGCTTTGTCCTTGACGCATTCCTGCACGCCGAGTCCAAAACAATGCTCAGACTTTGAAACGCATCAATAGTTTGGAAGATATGCATCAAAAACCATTTATGGGGTGACAGTAATTATAGAGTACAGTGCTTCTAAACAACCATATCTCTGGTTCAGCACTTCGTGGGACCACTTTTGGCCATCGCACAGTCAAAGCAACGCTTCTGCATGCTCCCTACTAACCTATCCAACGTCGCAGTGTTGATATTTTCCCAGCAGTCCATTATACATTCGAGTAGCTCATCGATATTATTAAACTGCCTTTCATGTGCGTACACTTTCCTTGCCAAGATCCCCAAAAGGTTTTCTATAGGGTTGAGGTCAGGGGACTTGGCAGGCCAGTCCATAAAGGGCACTTCCACCTCTTCAAACCATTCGTAAACGCGATTAGCACAGTGTACAGCTGCACCATCTTACAGAAACGTCCAGCTAGGACCGAGCTCTTGATCAACAGAAGGAAGGAGATTGGTCTCGAGAGTCTGAATATACTTGAGCGCATTCTGCTTCCCTTCTAAAACGACCAAGTCACACTTCTTTTTCCCAGAAAACGCACCCCAAACCATCACCGGATCACCCCCTTGCTGCCGCTTTGAAAAAACCTTTCTATTCTTTCGTAAGTCATGCGAATAAAACGCGAAGCCGTCTGGTCCGTCGAGATTAAACTTCTTCTCGTCAGACCAGACTACATTTGCCCAATCACCAGGCGTCCAGGTCACCTTATCTCGAGCCCAACTTTCTCCCGCGATTTTGTGGCGCGGAAGCATCATTCGTGCGCGTGCCATGCGCATATACCGAAGGGTGGGAGTGCTGCTGAGTATTGCACGCGCGCGGCTGGACTCAACAGGGAGCTGGAGTGTCTTGACAAGTTCTGTTGATGTCAATTCTCCCTTGTGCGTCTCTCGGATCAGCGCCCTTTTTGCCTGCGCAGACAGCGTAGGCTTCCTCCCGATCCTTTTTTGTTCCGTAGAGCTCGGAGGCTTTCAAGTAGTTAGCTACTACTTTTGCGGACCTGCCTAGATGCTTGGCGATGCGGCGTATCGACCACTGAGCATCATGCAGGCCCGCAATTTTTCCTTTTTCTTCAGCCGTTATGGATTTACCGCGCGGCATAATTGGGGGGTCTGTTGGGTACTTTTTTACACGGAAGGCTGCTTGTGTTGAAGCGTATTGTATTGGGCTTTTAACGCGCTAAAGAACGCGGCAAGGATTCTTTCGGTTGCCGAGTTCTTAGCGCGAGAATGTACTGTACTCTATACTTAATGTCACCCCATGAATACACATGTATTAATATCTGCAAAAGTATTTATGCTTTGCAAAATCTGATTGCAGATTCGGACTCAGCACGCATTGTTTTATCAAGAATGTTGTTGTTTTTTATGCAACGTGTGCTGCGTGCCACAGCACGGCACAACTTGGGGGTGCGGCTATAAATAATGGCGGTACTGTATGTGTGCCACACACACAAATAGTGCACGAGCAGGGGGATCCGGCGAATAAAGCAGATGTAAATCCAAGATGTGTTGAGTATTGCGCAGGCTGGTTGGCATGTGTAGATACACGTGTGAGATGTACACAACGTGTTATAAGAATGGGCAAGAACAAGGTGTGTGGCGAGGAAGACTGGTGCAAGTGCCAGCACTTTGGTGGTGTTTCCTGTCTCACCCTTGTGCTGAAAGTGAATGGGTCGGGGATTTTGTCAGCGAAATGACATTGGCATTACAGTTGTCAAAAAAGAGATCATTCGGGGTGACGAAATATGGGACAAGGGGGAGGAAGGGTGTGATGAACTGGAGCGCAAATTAGGGCGTACTGCAATGCATCTATTGCACTACGCCCTAATTGTCCATTTCTACTGCACCTACTGCATCTAGTAGGTGCAGTAGAAATGGACAATTGGTTGTTCTTCGCGGGCAGCCTGTTGGTTGGAATAGGAGGCCGCCTCCTACGCGTACAGTATATCGCGGGTTGATAGAAATGTACATAGATTTGTTTTGTTTTTCAATGAGGAAAATTGGGGGGGAAAGCGGAAAGCAATACGGCGGTGTTAACATCATGGACATGATCATGTGATGTTAATGATAATGTTAACATGACATGGTGGGGTGATTCTCGGGCTTGCTATCTCTCTTACAGTGCATTACGGTTCTGCGTCTGTTTTGTTGGCGCCGGGCCCACAGTAATTTACAGTGATGATGATGATGATAATTTGATTAGGTGTATGACAAGTAGGCGGTAATTTGATTAGGTGTATGACAAAGTAGGCGGTGTCGATTAGGGGATTAGGAGTTTTAGTCCAGTGCGCAGAAATAGAAAAGAGGACAGCACGCCGCCCATCCGGGGCCTGCCCACTGGGCCATTCCCGAAAAGCATGCCAAACCGCCCCCGCGCACAGTCGCCGAGCCCCCCCGCTTCGAACTCCAACACAACGGACACCTCATCTCATGATCATGCAATTATTTACAGTATTTAATTATTAGAGACGCCTTGCAACTGTCTTACAGCCCGCTTCCTACAGTACACTATACTGTAGGAAGCGGGCTGTACTGTATGTGGTTACATCCAGACGACAGTACAGCACACCGCAGTAATAAGACATAGCCAAGAGGGCAAACCGTAGTCGCGACCCAATAAAGTATCCGACGGCCACCCGCTCCCTCGGGGATCGGGGGGTATCAGAGTTCACGGAACCACACTGTAGAAGGAGACCCAGTACGGAAGTTACAATGCAATCCCACCAGCGGCCATCGCACAGCTCGTCGCCTGCGGAAAGGCAGCCCCGGCACATGCCGGGCCTGTACTGTTGGACATATACCGTGCAGCTCAGCTCCAGAGGTGCGCGCGTTGCCTAGAGCAGCGCGGGAGTCCCTCTCGGCCCGGGCGCACGGATTTCCGCCGCGCATTCGCGCCGCGCCGCGCCACGACGAGCAACGGGGCGGGGGGGGGGGGGGGGGGGGGGGGGGTTGGTGACGTCAGCGCGCGAGCCTTTCTGCGACGCGGGGGCCGCCAGCGCGGAGGTGCGCACCGCGTGCGAAGGTGTTCATCATAGCGGTCCCTACAGTCGGACCCGACTTTGCCCCCCACGGGCCCAGCTGGTGTTGCGCAGGTAGGGATCTCTCACAGCGCGGGCGATTTCTCGCGGGCGCAACGGACGGCCGCGCGCGCGACAACAATGCAAGCGGCGCGCACCCGCGCGACAGCGCGCCCTGCGCTGTAAACGAGGTGTCGCGCTGCCCCGCTTTCTCGGCCCCAAAAACGAGCCCGGAATATGCCCCCGCACGCCGCACGCCGCCCTTCCCCGCCACGCCGGGCCCCGCCAGCGTCACCGAAATCCTACCCCCCGCACAGCGATGCACCTGCTCCACGTACCGCCCACGCCCCGACCCTCGCTTTGCCGCCAACCGCTGTATAAAAGCCCGCCCTCTTCCCTCCGTACCCCCCCTCCCAATCCACCCTTCCACGCCTACGACACACCGCCCCCCCCACCGTTTACCAACCCCCCTCCCCCCCCCCCCTCCACACCTCGCAATGAAGTTCTCCACCATCGCCGTCCTCGCGCTCCTCTTCGCCGCCGTGGCGCTCCCCGCCCGCGCGTTCCCCGCCGTCGACCTGACCGTGCTGAACCGCCAACCCGGGTCGAGCCCGTCCGCGGAGCCGTCCGTGAGCCCGGAAATGAGCCCGGAAATGAGCCCAGACATGAGCCCCGAGGAGAGCCCCGAGGACGACGACGACGTGTGCGTGTCCGAGTCGTACCTGCTGTCGATCGGCCACTCGCGCCGCGACTTCGTGCACGCGGACGCCCCCATCGCGTCCGTGCTCTGCCCCGCCGACCGCGCCGTGCCGTGCGCTACCAAGCACCACATGCTCCGCGTCGACGGCCGCGCCCTCAGCTACGAGCAGTACTGCGAGACCGTCGCATGCTCCTCCCGCATCGAGAAGGTCAACTCCGTCTACTCCCACATCTGGCAGGAGCGTGACCTCGGCTCCGTCCACCTCACCATGTTCGACGCCCGCTACCACGAGCTCCCGCAAAAGGCCCTCCATATGGCCATGAGCGCCTCGCGCGCCGTGTTGCGCTCGGAGTAGACTAGCCCGTGGTGCCTGTCGCACGCCCACTCACACTTCTTTCCTGCCAGTCGAGGCCTTTTGCTCAATGGGCGCTCGCGGCGCGAGCGTTTCCGGACCGCGCCGCCTGCCGTGGCGGCAGCCGGGCTGAGAGTCGCAATCCCCCGCTGCCGCGCCGTATGCAACGTCGCTAGTTGTGCTTGTAGGTTGTGGTCTCGTGATATATCAAGAGCCTTTTTTTGTCTTGTTGAATGCCCGCCCTGTAAACTTCGAATATTATCTTGCGCGCCACTTTTGCCATACATTGCGCGCGCGCCGCGCGCACCTCCCGGCCTTCCACACGCATACACACACACGAGATGTTGAGGAGCAGGACGTGTCCGATGTTAGGCATCTCGCACGGATACGGGAGTCTCGGGGGGGGGGGGGGGGGGTGGGGCAGTTTGAGCGCGATAATGCGCCATTTGGCGGGAGGCAACAATGCTCGGCTGTACTGTCAGGCGGTTGCAGGAGGGCGAATGTTTCCCGGGGATGTGCGTTTTAGCGTCGCTCGAAAACTGTATCGGTGGCTCTCGTGTGTTTACCGACGGGAATATCACTGTAAGGACGTTGCGACGATTTCCACTGTAAGACTTGGCGACGGCTGCGGCGCAGCATAAACTACGTAGATGTCAGGTGGCGCAGCCGCTGCGCCACCTGACATCTACGTAGTTTATTCATAGAATACTGCACTTGTTCATTGCGTGCACCCTTCGAAGGGTACCTCGTTGACAGGAACACGACTGCCATCACACTGCTCCGCTCATGGCACTGAGCCCCGCTCCTTCCGGTTTGTGAGTACGGCTTGTTTCTGGTGATGTTCGTGCTGGCTGTTCGTGGGACCGAATGCCCCGGTCGTGCCGATTCTTTTCATTGCGACTGCTACTCTTACGACTGCACAACTTTGCCTCCACCGCCCTCTTCACTGAAAAATCCCCGTAAAGCCTACGAATACCGATTTGAGAAAAGGAAAACCACCACATTCAAACAAACAAAACTTCTTCGTTTTTACAGCTATTATTCTGCTACATACTTATCGTCAACACTCTGTCGCCTGCTTTGACAACCAAGCTGCTACATCCTCCTCCGTTTCTGCCCGTGCCCTCTTGGCCAGTACTGCCCAGTATCCACTCTCTCAACCCTTCCTACCCCTAGCAGCCCCACCCAACCCTTTCTGCCAACACGGTTTCGCCCACGTAGCAAACCAAGGCGCTATGCTGTTGTCGCCCTCCCCCCGACCCATCTCCGCCGCCCCCGCCTCATCCCGCCTCTCAAACTCCCAAGGAGTCTCCAGCTCCCCAGAGCTCATCTCCTCATCCGACACGCAAACAAACACCTCATCTTCACTCTCCTCCCCCGTCCCATGCTTTGTGCACTTCTCCACCACCGCCCTCGTCACCGCAGAGGACCCCTTCCCCATCCCTCGGTAGCCCCGCTGCCGAGGAGGTGGGAAAAGTTCTATCAGTTTCTCGTACAACGCCACCGCATCCTGCTGCTCCTCCACCGAGCACAGTCTGCAGGGCCCTTCCCTCCCGCGCGCCGCGCTCTCATCACCCGAGCACGCCGCCGAGTCGCCGGCGCTGCTGTCCGAGAATGCCCACGGGAAGATGCGTCCCTGCCTGCACTGCGACCGCACCAGCTCCGGGCTGAATGCCCCGCTGTCGAAGTCCCCGGGCTTGGTCGTCCGCCGGGAGGGGCGCCCGCCGTGGAGGAAGGAGACCCAAATAGAGCGCACAGATGTGGAAAGCTGGCGCCCGAGCTTTCGGAAGGCGCGCGGTAGACGGAAGAGAGACCGCGGATGCTTGTAGCCGTGGGGACGCGCGTAGAAGGGGGGGTCCCGGGCTAGCGGACAGCCTTCGCTCGATTTGAGCACGTCCCAGTTGAAAGAGGAGATTGTCATGGTTTTCGTCAGAGAATACGGGCTTCAGGTGCGAGTTGTGATTATCTTGCGCAAGTCGTGGATGAGCTGCTTGCAACGCGCAGTTTGAAAACTTGGTTGGAGAACAGATGAAGTTGGTTGAGGACGAGGGTGCATTTGAGGATGTCGGATACCCTGCATGATTTGTTGTATTTATGTGGAGAGCTGCTTTTATTCTAAGAATCGAGGTGAGAGTCGATATTCATCGCAGAAGGAGAGACGGACGAGGAGCAAAAGAGAGGTCTTCTCTCAAACATGATTGCAAGAGGAGAGTTGGTAGAAGTCTGTTCTGGGGCTGCTTCGGTGGATGTACTGTACAGCTTTGTCATGCGCAGTGTGTATTCGCCGTCATGTTTCTGTCTTTCATTTTTTCTTACTCTTCGCCAGAGTTTGGGTTGGTGTTTTTATTTCTCCGGGGCACGGATTACGGAGATCAGGGAAAAATGTGTAGAGCGGAGTGAGATGTGCCAGAGATACGTAAGATGCGATACATCCCCCGCTACAAACTGGGATCATTCTCTATAGGATCGGTCTTGACATTAACAAACGAACACACACACATCAAGTGAAGGAGAGAACGCGGTGCCTGCATCATTCAAGATGCCCAAGCATATCGCAGGACTATAGAACGAAGAGTGACTGATTTTGCGTGTGCTACTGAGTACAGTTTACGGATTCAAAAGGTGTGTGAGCTTTTTCACATTGCAACATCAACCTCGCAAGAATTTCTCAGTCCGACAGCCTTTCAACTACATGTTCAAACAACCAAGTATATTCTTTATCTAATATCACAGCATATTGTGATGTGTATCCCATATGTCTTTTCCACACCGCGCGCCATCAATCATCAATCTTTTAAACGCGGCGCGTTGACCCCGCCATACCCTGAACCGTTTCCGTGCTGGTGGGGCAAGCTCATAGGTTGGCCTTCCCGGGATGAGGGGAGCGCCACTTCGTAGAAGGGGAGCCTCGGAAGCCTTTCGTCGATGCGCATCCAATAGCGGCCCGGCCCTGAGCGGCGAAACAAGAGTAGCAACTCCAGACGCGAGAGGTAGCTGAGACGCGAGAGGTAGCTGCGTCGCATGTCTCGGTAATGCGCCGGAGCCAGGAGTTCTAGGGGAGGTTTTCACGGCCTCCCCACTTCGTCTCTGTCCGACCACATTCCAATCCATCCGCTCAAGTGGCGGGGCTCTAATTCGTCTCGCTGCCCGATGCTTGACAGCTGCGACAGTATCTGCGGAGGTACAAGCGACTCCGCCACTCGGCTCGATCCTGTCTTCGATGTCTTCGGCAACAAATGGCCTCGCAAGGCGTAGCGCGGACGGTTTCTGCCAAGACATAGGGGGGCGCGTTGTGAAAACCGGCAGTAAGGGGTCCTTCAGCTGCACTCCAGACACATTTGAAGGAGCTGGCCGATGTGGAGTCTGGACATCGTCACCGCCCATCGCCGCATCTGAGGGTAGATCTGAACGTTGATCTGAATGTTGATCTTCACTCTCCAAAACGGTCCCATACCCGGAGAAATTCTGTGATGCCGGGCTCGTCACAGAAGAGAAGGCCTTGCAAAGGCCTGTATTGGACGGCGGTCCACATGGGGGGCTGAGTTCGACCACAGTAGTGTACAAGGCCAGGGCTTCACGCTGCCCCGCTTGGGAGCAGAGACGACATTTCTTGCTCTCCCGAAAGTCCCAGCTCTCGTCTGACGAACAGGAGACCGAGTCCACGTCTGTGCTGTCTGTGCTATCTGTGAACGGTAACGGGCGGATGCGGCCCTGGCTGCAGTACGAGCGAGTGAGCACTGGACTAGCAGAGCCACTTCTGCAGCGCTGGACTGTGGGGTTTGCGGTGCGGCAGAAGGGGTGACCGGCATTGCGGATCGAGCGCCAAACACAGCTGACGGCAGTGGAGAGGGAGCGCCCGACTTTTCCAATAGCGGTGGGGATGGTAGGCCTAGAGCGCGGCAAATCTGTTTGAGATGCGGGGCTATCTGGGAGGGACGGAGCTGAGGACCGGTCTGCAGTGGCGGGGGACACTTCTGAGTGAGAAGAAGGGTTAGACATGAGAAACTGCTTCAAGGTACGTACGTTTGGTGTTTGTAACGATCGTTTCGCGCTGATGGCAGATGAGTTAATGACGGCACGCAGTTGGTAAAGTGCAGGTGGTTGAGGTTGGTCGAGGTTGGCGGTGCATCCGGGGAAGGGACAGTCAAGGGCATCAAGCCTGTGTGCTTTATGGGCGCGAAGAGCGTCATTGAACCTGAGAGCCGAATTGAGAGTTGAACTTCACCGTAGAGCGAAAGACGGACAGTGAGCAAAAGACAGGTCATCATTCAAGCTTAATTGAAAGAGGAGCACAGAGTTTCCCTTATTCTGTTCTAGCGATACCTCGGTGACTGTAGGCGTTTGTCTGTAATGTGAACTGTGCTGCCGCCGTCACTGCAGACTCCGTCCCTCAACTGTTTTTCTTGCTGTTCGTGGGAAGTTCTGGCTGTTTTTTTCCTCCCCTTGAGGTACAGACGACAGAGATTGCAGGCCAAAATAGAGGTAGAAATGAGCTGTGTAAGAGATGCGCGAGATGTAACTTATCTATCAGCACAAAGTGGGATCGTTCTGGGTAGGACCAGTTGTGAGATAAACCTATGAACACACATCAATTAAAGGTACTGCATTTAGAGCATTGCACAAACGTCGTTCAAGATACCCGCACATATTATAGGAAGTTGTAACATTCTCCAGAGAGTTAATCCTGACGATGAACATACGGACACACATCAATTGAAGGTACTGTATTTAGAATACCGCACATTCCTGGTTCAAGATACTCGCACATATTGCAGGAAATTGTAAAGAAGAGCAGGCGTTGTTCGTGCGGTGTTGAAAAAAGTTCATGGATTCGACGTATATGGGCAGCTTTTTCACATGCTAATAATGATCTTGCAAGAACTTCTCGGTCAGATAACCTTTCATCCAAATGTAGTTGATGCGCTTTTGCAGCGTGTTTAACCTCGTTCACAAAGAGAACTAACGAGTAATGTAAAACGCTGAATGTGTGGAACAATAGATTTACCGAAAGTTGATCGAGCGACTCGACGTAGGCTCGGTGCATTCAACAGGACGTCAAGATCACGACTTTGTTTCTTGTTTATTCCATTGCTGTATGTTTCTTGTGACTTTGTTTCTTGTTTCTTCCATAACTGTATGTTCCTTGTGACTTTGTTTCTTGTTTGTTTCTTCCATTACCGTATGTTCCTTGTGACTTTGCTTGTTTCTTGTGACTTGTAAATGAAACGATTGATCTAAACTATGTGGCTCGCCTCCCCATCACAGTGCCACCCCCGCCCTTCCCCTCCTTTCCAATGCACGCCTCCATCACCCCTTTCATTGCCGCCTCTGACATCCCCACCTTTTCCTTGCCCGGCTCCTTCACCCCTTTCACTGCCGACCTCTGACATCCCCACCACTTCCTTGCACGGCCCTCCGCCCCCTTTCTGTGCCGACCCCGACCACCTCTTACCCACTATCCATTCACGACACCACCGCCCCTTTCCTTGCCGACCTCTGACATCCCCACCATTTCCTATCTCGGCCCCACCGCCCCTTTCATTGCCGACCACAACCGACCCCACCTTTTTCTTGCCTGCACACCTCCAGAACCGACAGTGCGCAGCCCATTTCAGTTTATATCCTCTTGCGAATCCGAGACAGCTTGTCCCCGACACCTCTCCCCGCTGCACCCGCCACATGCATCCAAATTGAACGCTTGACAGCCGCAATTTCATGTCACGCGCTCGGCCCGTCGTCTGTCGCCACCATATCGACAAATGACAGGCCGACGATTTGACACGCATGCCTTTCCCTTTCCCTTGTCCGTCCTAACAGTTGCAGCAACACGAGCATCGAAAGAGGGCAGAGAACGGTTTGCCGAGGTAGCGGGGAGGGGGCGGGGAGATGGCGGAGAGGTGGCGGAGGGGTACACGTGTAGCAGAGAGTCGCAAGTGATGGGATGTCGGCAGAATAATGTCGCCGAAATTTGATGAGCTCAGCGCAGTGGCGCGTTGGGGTTGCAACGTAGTGTGCGTGTACGTCCCACGTACACGTGTATCCTTGACACACGTGTGTACATGATACACGTGTTTAGGAGAAGGTACTGTTCTACTAACGCCTTTAGAGATTATTCATCATCGTATTCAGAGAGACCAGTTATACTGAAGAGAGAGATGGTACCTACGTCTCACAGTAGAGTTCAGCATCATGAAAAGTTTGTATGGAGCAGCCGATACGCCAAGATCTAATACTGTAGAGTAATAGAGTGCTCAGAGCAACAATACAAAACATAACAAAGATAAGTCAGCAGATAGACAGCAAGTAGACAGTCTACAGACAGCATTTCGGTTGCTGTTTCTGATTTACTTGAGTACGCTTCACACAATCACTGTGCCATGCAGAGGGGGTATCATCAACAAAAACCAGGCCTCTACCACTTTCTTCACCACCAGATACCCTCGAAGCGTACAAACAGTCAAGACAGGGAAACGTAAAATGGAAAGACGGGAAGGGGGATGAGCGTATCAAACAATCAAGCATGTTCTTTATCTACTAGCACTGTACAATGTCACACGTATCCCATATATGTCTTCTCCACACCGCACGCCATCAATCGTCAATCATCTAAAAAGCGGCGCATTGGCCACGCCATATCCTGAACCGTTTCTGTGCTGGTGGGCCAGGCTCATAGGTTGGCATTCCCGGGATGAGCGAAGCATCACTTCTTGGTATGTGTGCTTAAACATCCCGGTGCTGGTTAGCAGCTTCATGATGCCCCGCTGCAAGCTTATTAATAACCTGTGAGCTCACCTCGTAAAACCTCCCCATCGCCACGGCATACTCCCGACTCTTGATGTAAACTTGCTCAATACTGTCGTACCGATCCTCCAAAATCTTGAGGACTCCCTTCATCCGATGTGAGCTTTGCTCTAAAAAGGTTCGCATTGCGCACTGACATCCCTTGTTGCCGTCTTTGTTACCAGCGTTACCACAGCAACACTTGCCCTCTTTCCCATCCAACAGCCCGCGCATGCGCATCACTTCTAATTCTAGATACGCGCACGCACTGATCAAAGTGCGAGCCTCATTGCGATCCCTTCTACCCGAGAAGAGTTCAAACGCGGTGCCAGCGGGCGGCGTGAACGGCCTTGGCATGTCCATGCTCTCCATGTGCGGCACCATCCAGCGCTGCCCGTTTCTCCTCCGAATGATCTTCTTCCTTTCCACCTGTTTGGCTGCCTTCTCCGGCACGGACACACTCTTGGCTCTAGCGGCTGTGGTGCGCCGCGGGCGGTCTGTCGCCGAGATGCTCAGTGCATGCTCCCTAGTCATGCGCGGGGGAACTTTGGCATTGGCTTCCTTGAGCGGTGCCGGCGTGGGGGCCGGCCCCGGGATGGACGAGAGGGTCTTGAGGGCGGGCTGCGTGGGTAGCTCGTGCTCAGAGGTGGCTGAGGAGAGGGCCCTCTCCGCAGAATTTGCGGTGGCGTTCGACACCGGGGAGCCGGCGTCTTCTGTGGGGGCGCTTCTCTGCCACTCGGGCTTGCCGCGGACGACGGCGACGGGTGCAGAAGGCGATCCGGAGCCGACGGGGGTGGGGGTGGGAGATGTGGTCTCGAAGAACGGGATGGAGCGCTCGGCGGGCTCGCCGACGGCGAACGTGACCGCGCGGGCTTTGACAGGAATAGTCGGGATGGGCGGAAATCGATTCCTGGGATGGTTTTCCGGATTGTTGATTCCGGGAGGGGCAGAAATCGATTGCTCGTCGGTGATGCCAATTACCGACAGCGAGCGGATGGGACCCTGCTCGTAATCTGATGGAGCGAGCGCCGACTTGCTAGAGCCCTTTGTGAGGCTCGTGGTTTCAACAGGAGGCTTGGAGGTGCAGCGGAACGGGCGGCCGGCTTTGCGGACCAAGCGCCAGGCTCCACCGACGGCAGTAGAGAGAGAGCGCCGAATTTTTGCGAGGCGGCTGCGGGTGGAAGGGGGCGAGCGGGGTAGGTGTCGTTGAGAGGCAGGACTCTCTGTCCTCTCTGTAACGGTCGGAACTGGAGACGGATCTTCGGTGGCGGGAGACACCTCGGAGTGGGGAGAAAAGTTAGACATAGAAAATGGTTCTCAGGTTGCTTACCTCCAGAGCTTGTTACGAACTTTTCGCATTCGTAGCGGACGAGCAGTTGGTAAAGGGTAGTTGGAGCGAAACTGAGGTTGGTTGAGGTTTGCGGTGCATCCGGGAGAGCGCAGTTAGATACACCCGGGTCTATTTGTTTGTATTCAAGTGAAGAGCTGCATCGTTCTACGATGAATTGTGAATCGCAGTTTGCGATGCAGCTCTGGAGAGCTGCGATTCACAATTCATCGCAGAACGAAAGACGGACAGTGTGCGCATGGGGATTCGAAAAACGTCATCTTCAATATCTTCATCATCTTCAAGAATGAGTGGGATGCATGTTTTCTGGTTTAGGGGTGCATCGGTGCTTTGCCGTGGTCGCATGTGTCTGTCGGTAGACGTGAATAGAGATTCTACCGTCAGTGTCGAATCTTCACAAGTTTTGTTGTTGGTGTTGGTGGGATTTTGAGTTTTGAGGTTGTATTTTATTTGCTACACACAGAGGACGGAGATGACGGGCCAAGATGGAGGGAGGCGTAAGATGTGCAAGACAATATATATAATTACAAACTGGGACCTTTCTTCGGAGAGTTGATCCTGACATGAACATACGTGCCCACATCAATTGAAGGTACTGTATTTAGAATGCCGCACATTCATGGTTCAACATACTCGCACGTATTACAGGAAATTGTAAAGAAGAGCAAGCGTTGTTCGTGCGGTATTGAAAAAAGTTCATGGCTCCGACGTATATGGGCAGCTTTTTCACATGCCAATTACGATCTTGCAAGAACTTCTCAGTCAGACAACCTTTCATCCAAATGTAGCTCATGTGCCTTTGGTGTGTGTTGTGTGTGTGTTTATCCTCGGCCAGAAGAGAAGAAACGAGTAGATCACAAGCCTGGCCACGCCTGACAATAGCGCACTTGTTTACACAGAAAAGACAGAACTGTACGACCCAGATATGTGATCATGTTTGCTGGTTTGAAGCATGCACAGTTGTGCTTGTCGTTTTCTATGGACGAGCACCAGCACTGGAGTAAACAGGGTCGAAACAAGTAAACTCTGGAATCTGCACGAAAAGGGGTGGCTGCCACCCAGCATCAGCATGTCGCTCGTTGTCCGTGACCCCACCGCCATCCGACGCATTGTATCACGTTGGGCGTCGAGACGTGATTCTCATCCATTCCGAGTGTCTTCCGCCCGCGATCCCGGTTTCCGACCTCTCCAAAAGTGACGTCATTGGGCGCCATACGCTTTGATTCAAGCGATTCAACCAATTAAATGCATGCAATTTTTGCATGCTATCTTTGCAGTCCGCTTCCTCCGATTCCACGTCGATGCCTGTCAAAAGAATGGGACGCACTTGGTGTATGCTGTAATAGAAACGGCATTACAGAAGTCCCAGGCCGAATGTTTCGAGTTGGGAGATCAAAGGTCGTGGCCTTTCTGTTAGTTTAGGTAGAATGGAGACACTGTCAGTCACCCTTTTCCGCAATGCGATGGTCAGCTAACTACAGAGCGAATTGCGAGAGCTGGAGAGAGAGGAGGGGCCAGGACGAACACCAGTAAACAATTGTTGCATTTTGCATCTCTTGGCGGCGCTCTCCCGTGCGAGCAGCCGCATCACTCGTCTTCACTCGTCCCGAGCTCCGGAAGGAACGGCACAGGCTCCAGCGCGCCTGGTGCCAGGGACATCAAAGCAAGGACAACTCAATTCACAGGAGTTTTCCGACAATGCCACGAATTCCCTTGGTCCCATTGCTTGCTGTCGTCGTCGACGTCCGAACCCTTGGTTCGCTTTGCGCACTCAAACAGCATCAGCAGCAAGCGCTTCCCTGTACCCAAACAAACAGTTACAAACATTTCCCAACGAATCCTTCGCGATCTCGACACTCAAAAAGTCTTCGCCCCAAGCTGCCCCTCTTTCACGCTCTACAGTCTTCTCTAACTCCCCGCGACACCGCCTTCCGAAGCAGCGTTTTCACCGCCGTCGCTTGCTCGCTGCCTGTCTTGACACATACCGCTTTAGACTCCTCTGTAGCATCTGTCCCGGTTCTCTCCCTCCGTTAACGCCATGTAGATTTTCGGCCCGTCATCTCTCGTCGGCAGCGCATCTGACAGAGGCTGAGGGGAATCGTGGGGACGCAGTGCAGTCTTGTTTTCAGCGAAGCGTATTTCATATTCGCCTGAAACAAACATGCAGATCCTCTCCGGCAGATCAGCTTGTGTTGCGTGCTGGCAGAAAGCCCTGTCATGGAGGGGCTCATCGTGCTCATTTCCAACCGGCTTATGCTGCGGCATAGGCGGTTCCCTGGCCGAGGATCTCTCAATATCCTCGGACGTCGATAAGCATTTCAATCATCGCCAGCGCTTCGCTCTGTCGCACCGCTTCTTGGTTGTCAACGGGAGCTGCCTCACCAGTGACGTTCGAAACGTCACTGGTGAGGCGGCTCCCATCTGGCGATGTAGGAAATGGTAGGACGGGCTTCGGGGGAGGGGGGGAGCTCGGTGTCGCGGGCAGTGGGAGACGGAGAAAGCAAACAGAGGCACGAGCTTTTCGCGCTACAATGTTCTAGTCCGTTGGGGGACGGCGGCATGCATTCATCTCAAGTGTCTTGTGATCGCCCATCCACAAACGGCGCCAGTGGATAACGTGTACACGTGTACCCCACCACCTTCGTCAACCTGTATTCCCGAATCCACCCTTCCCGAATCCACCCTTCCCGAATCCACCCTTCCCAACCCGCACCCTCCTCAGCAGCGTCTTCATGAACTCCTCCGTCCTCGTCCGCGCCCCCACCTCCGAACCTCCGCGCCTCACCGGTGACGACAGCCGCACCACCCTCCCCGCCTCCCCGTCTCCTTGCAGGCCAGCTCCGCTCTTCGTGATCCACCACCCCTTCGACCACCTCTTCAGCAGCACCCCCGCAGCCGTAGTCGAAGAATTGATAACAAAGGCAATGCGCTCGCATTGTGCACAAGTTCTGTGTGCTTCACCAATGTCACTATTCTGCTTGAACGCTCGCCTCAATCCAATACACACCACACAGGTTAAGCAACCAAAACATTGGAACACTAATCGATTGTCATGAGAGCCATATGCACACACGTTGCACACGTACAACAGCGATCAACTCACCACGATCGCCGCCGGCCTACGGATCACTAGCATCCCTACATAAGGTAGATAGGCACGCGACCCCAGGTAAACCTAGGCATCGATCTTGCATCACATCGATTAATGCAAGAGAGGCTAGCCCGTACACAAGCAACAGCTCACCAAGGGACGCCTTCGCCTTTGAATACACCTCTCTAGATGCGCCGCACAGACATCCATTGTCAACAAGCACGAAAGCACGCCACGCTAAAACCAGAAGTAGTCCTTCATCGCAACAACGAACAGGCCATCGCCTCCGCCTTTCCCGTGCCGCCGTACTCCCACGCCAACTCGTACAGTCATACAGTACCCAAGCATGCAATACAAGCATACAGTACAAGCGTGCAACAGTATGATCCCATTCCACGTCATACTGTACTAAGGGTACAGAACTGCACGAGCTTTGATCTCAACTGCATGAAGATGCAATCGAGAAATTGCGTTCTTCTCGGGAAAACTGACGAAAGGGACGGGCGCATTCAACAATCAAACCTGTTCTTTATCTACTTTGTGGTATCAAATGATTTCTTCTATCACAACCGTTTCTATCACCGTTATATGCTCGTTTGGGCTCGTAACAGACCACAGCACTGTAGAGTAGTCGTCTTCCCCCCTGTTCATGTTTGCAATTCCTGGCTGAGTTGTAATCTCATCTTCCTCAGCACCCATCGCCTCACTTTGCACGTTCCGCCCACACTTCTGCGGCCGCCCTATGAACTGCGGTTCTATCGCGTCCTCCCTGTCCGTCGCCTCGGTCCTGTCCTCTTTCGCTTCCCTGCCGTAGGTACGGAACGTCCACGTGGTGCGCATTCCCGGCGGTCTCTTCCACGTCATGAATGGGTGCGTGGGGCTCAGCAGAGGTATGGCATCCTCCACTTCCGGCGGTGCAACTGTATCCTTTTCGACCGCCAGGTCGTGGACAACCTTCGTGTCCTGGGCAAAAGTCGCTTTTTTGGCTACAAACTGCCTCTCCGTGAACAACTCTGCCGGTTTCTTCCATGGCATGGGCGGGCGTGTGGAGAACTGCCGTGGTAATGCGTCCTCCAGGCGCCCCGCATGCTCAAGTGGAACTACTGCCACGTTTGTATTCTGGACTTCCTCGCCGCCTTCAGTCCCATCTGAGAACAATTCAGAGACCTGAAATCCGCTTCCAACACCAGGCCCGTCCTCCTTGTCTGCCTCTGATACAGGACTCGTAACTGTGGAGAATTCCTTTCCCAGATTCCGATCGAACTGCGGCCGAGGAGGAGGCCTGACTTCCACGATGTTGCCACTCAACTCCAGGGCCTCGCGCTGTCTCGCGCCAACGAATAGGCAGCTGTTCGCGCACTCCCGGTGTTCCCAGCTCTCGTCCGACGCATTAGAACCCGATTCCTCGTCGGTGATGTCAGTTGCCGGAAGCGAGTGGATGGGACCCTGCTCGCACTCCGATGGAGCGAGCGCCGACTTATTAGAGCCATTTGTGAGGCTCGTGGTTTCAGCAGGAGGCTTGGAGGTGCAGCGGAACGGGCGGCCGGCTTTGCGGACCAAGCGCCAGGCTCCACCGACGGCAGTAGAGAGAGAGCGCCGAATTTTTGCGAGGCGGCTGCGGGTGGAAGGGGGCGAGCGGGGTAGGTGTCGTTGAGAGGCAGGACTCTCTGTCCTCTCTGTAACGGTCGGAACTGGAGACGGATCTTCGGTGGCGGGATACACCTCGGAGTGGAGAGATAAGTTAGACATAGAAAATGGTTCTCAGGTTGCTTACCTACAGAGCTTGTTACGAACTTTTCGCATTCGTAGCGAACGAGCAGTTGGTAAAGGGTAGTTGGAGCAAAACTGAGGTTGGTTGAGGTTTGCGGTGCATCCCGGAGAGAGAGAGTCCGATACATCCGGTCTATTTGTTTGTATTCAAGTGAAGAGCTGCATCGTTCTACGATGAATTGTGAATCGCAGTTTGCGATGCAGCTCTGGAGAGCCGCGATTCACAATTCATCGCAGAACGAAAGACGGACAGTGTGCGCATGGGGATTCGAAAAACGTCATCTTCATTATCTTCAACATCTTCAAGAATGAGTGGGATGCATGTTTTCTGGTTTAGGGGTGCATCGGTGCTTTGCCGTGGCCGCATGCGTCTGTCGGTAGACGTGAATCGAGATTCTGCCGTCAGTGTCGAATCTTCACAAAGTTTTGTTGTTGGTGTTGGTGGGATTTTGAGTTGTGAGGTTGTATTTTATTTGCTACACACAGAGGACGGAGATGACGGGCCAAGATTGAGGGAGGCGTGAGATGTGCAAGACAATATGAACATACGTGCACACATCCATTGAAGGTACTGTATTTAGAATGCCACACGTTCATGGTTCAACATACTTGTATTTAGAATGCCACACATTCATGGTTCAACATACTCGCGCATACTCGCGCATACTCGCGCATATTGCAGGAAATTTTAAAGAAGAGCAGGCGTTGTTCGTGCGGTGTTGAAAAAAGTTCATGGGGTTGACGTACGGTACATGGGAGCTTTTTCACATGCCAATAATGATCTTGCAAGAACTTTCCATTCAGACAAACTCTCAGCCAAATGTAGCTCATGCGCTTTTGCAGCGTGTTTAACCTCGTTCACAAAGAGAACTAACGAGTATGTAAAAAGCAGAATGTGTAGAACGAATAGATTTACCGAAAGTTGATCGAGTGACTCGACGCAGGCTCGGTGCATTCAACAGGACGTCAAGATCACGACTTTGTTTCTTGTTTATTCCATTGCCGTATGTTTCTTGTGACTTTGTTTCTTGTTTCTTCCATAACTGTATGTTCCTTGTGACTTTGTTTCTTGTTTGTTTCTTCCATTACCGTATGTTCCTTGTGACTTTGCTTGTTTCTTGTGACTTGTAAATGAAACGATTGATCTAAACTATGTGGCTCGCCTCCCCATCACAGTGCCACCCCCGCCCTTCCCCTCCTTTCCAATGCACGCCTCCATCACCCCTTTCATTGCCGCCTCTGACATCCCCACCTTTTCCTTGCCCGGCTCCTTCACCCCTTTCACTGCCGACCTCTGACATCCCCACCACTTCCTTGCACGGCCCTCCGCCCCCTTTCTGTGCCGACCCCGACCACCTCTTACCCACTATCCATTCACGACACCACCGCCCCTTTCATTGCCGACCTCTGACATCCCCACCTTTTCCTATCTCGACCCCACCGCCCCTTTCATTGTCGACCACAACCAACCCCACCTTTTCCTTGCCTGCAAACCTCCAGGGCCACCACGCCCCAGCCCTTTCCATCTTATACTGTATCCTCTTGCCAGTCAGAGGCAGCCTGTCACGTCCCCACATCTCCCCGCTGCACCCGCCACATGCATCCAAATTGAACGCTTGACCGACACAATTTCATCTCACTCACTCGCCCTGTCGTCTGTCGCCACGCACATCGACAAACGATAGGCCGCCGATTTGCCACGCACGCCTTTCCCTTTCCCTTTCCCTTTCCCTTTCCCTTTCCCTTTCCCTTTCCCTTTCCCTTTCCCTTTCCCTTTCCCTTTCCCTTTCCCTTACACCTGCGCCGGCACACGGGCGTTCGGAGAGGGGAAAGGGACGGGGGAGGGGGAGGGAAGAG